TGTTGACGACGTGATCTAGATTCTAGAGAGTTATTCTAGAGCTCTTTCCACAAAACAGTGTATCGATTCTCTCTGTGATAATAAAGAGTATAGATTCTTTCTTATCAATTGGTGCGTGAGCTCGGATCGAATAGAACGTGAGCGAATAGTTATGATTGAAGCAATTTGGGGATTTCGTAATTGGAGAAGAAACAGAACGCAATGATGGTGATAGAGATCGGGTTATCACTAGTTCGTGAATTGTCTGCGGCGGAGCAACACGACTCTTCACCGGCCGACGTATAGTTTGTAAACAAAATAAAAGAAATGAAGGTCACTTTAAAAATTCTTTCAAATATCATCATAGGAGGTGTGATTTTCAGGCTATCTATTTTAGTTATAATTTGCTACCCAAATCATCTCAAATCGTTATTAGAACAATTTCATTGTGAATTCTCAATTTTCCAATAACCTGAAATTTGAGAAGATTTTAATAAATGAATAATTGAATAACCTTAGATTTTGAATCATTTAAACAAATACTGAGTTCAATAAGGCAGACTTTTAATGGATTTTGGAAAATCACCAATCCAATATAGAGAGATTGTTTAAAAAATAAAAATCATCCCAAATCATAGATCCAATATCCCCCCTAAAACAGGCAAAATTCATTTAGCGCTGCGACCATCGCAGACAGAATCAAATCCTCGGCGGCGATTGAAGAAACCTTTTGATGGATCTGCTCAGGGAAGAGATTCTGAAAAAACGTAAGAGTCTAGCTGAGGAATCCGGTGGCAAGAAGTTCTTCAAGCGATCTGAGATCGAGCAGAAGAAACTTCAGAAGCTTCGAGAGGAAGAACGACGCGAGCACGAAATTAAGGCTCAGCGGAGAGTCGCCGCCGCAGCCGGTGGAGATGGTAAATTATCTGGTGATTCATCTGCTCCTGGTTCTTCTAACGCTGCTGCACCTGCGTCTTCCAAATCCTCCACATCTGACGCTGCTGCTATCGCGGACTCCAAATCCCTAACCGACGAGCGAAACATCGAAAACCTAGTTCTCCCGAGGCAGGAAGTGATTCGTCGTTTGAGATTCCTTAAGCAGCCGATGACTCTCTTCGGAGAAGATGATCAAGCGCGGCTCGATCGGCTCAAGTATGTGTTGAAAGAAGGATTGTTCGAGGTTGACAGTGATATGACTGAAGGACAGACGAATGATTTCTTGCGTGACATCGCAGAGCTGAAGAAGCGGCAGAAGAGTGGTATCATGGGAGATAGGAAGAGAAAGAGTAGAGATGAAAGGGGTAGAGACGAAGGTGACAGAGGTGAAACGAGGGAAGATGATCTTAGTGGCGGTGAGTCGAGTGATGTTGATGCTGATAAGGATATGAAGCGTTTGAAAGCTAACTTTGAGGATCTATGCGATGAGGATAAGATCCTTGTGTTTTACAAGAAGCTATTGATTGAATGGAAACAGGAGCTTGATGCGATGGAGAACACCGAGAGGAGAACTGCCAAAGGGAAACAGATGGTAGCCACTTTTAAGCAGTGCGCTAGGTATCTAACTCCTCTCTTCAACTTATGCAGGAAGAAGGTAAAGATTCTTGCTTTCGATTGTTGTTTAGGTGTAAATCATTTTGCTCGACTTTCTCTGTTAATTGGAAAGGAAATTGTTAGGGAGATTATCTCTGTTTATGGAATTGGAAATAAGCTCTCTTGACTATCTTGATCGAACTTAGTTTTGGTACGAAGACAAATGCGCAACGACTAGGTTCCATTAGTTTTTTGGGTACTTGTGATTTCAGAATAGCAAGTATCAAGCTGCTTCTTTGGTAACTCTATATGCACTTGAATTTGCCGTTGAAGCTCTGTTATCTCTATTTTAATGAAGAGAAATAAGCTGGACTGTTGGGTGCAAGAAAAGCTTCTCCTTTCTGTCTTATCAGTGTTAAATATACTCTTTAGTCTTTACACTGAAGTTTGATGAGCTCTCCTGATCTTAATCTTTCTAATTATGGCTTACAAATTGCAGGGTTTACCAGCTGACATTCGTCAAGCTTTAATGGTGATGGTTAACTACTGCATAGAGCGAGACTACCTCGCTGCAATGGACCACTACATCAAACTAGCAATCGGGAACGCTCCATGGCCCATTGGAGTGACTATGGTTGGTATCCATGAACGTTCAGCTCGAGAGAAGATTTACACCAACAGTGTTGCGCACATCATGAATGATGAAACCACTCGCAAGTATCTCCAGTCAGTTAAAAGACTGATGACTTTCTGTCAAAGACGTTACCCAACGATGCCTTCTAAAGCTGTTGAGTTCAATAGCTTAGCCAATGGAAGCGACCTACAGTCGTTGCTCGCTGAAGAGAGATTCTTTGGTGGTGATCGTGAACGAGTCTCGGAGGAGAGACTCCGGCTCATGCCTTCTCAAAGCGAAAGCTAGTCTGCCAGTGATGTTACTGCTTTGTTGTGCTTTGTACCTTTGTTGTGTTAAAACGTTAACTCTGTATTTAACTCGGTGACTAAGATTTTCGAGTCTTTCCATGTGGCGTGTAGGAACATATCAAAGTTCATAAAACGACATAGCCAAAAAATCTGGTAAGGGTAATAGAAAAATCAAATCTCGGAACCTTATTGGTCCAAAAGTTATGAGCACCTTATCCAAAAATGTTCGATTCCCATCAACTCTCTGTTGCCAGATTCTATTAAGGCATTTCATTTCTATACATATTACTTCACAAAGAAAGATTTAAAAATTTAGAGAGGAAAACAAAAGAAATTATGGCAACTCAAGCCGCCGGAATATTCAGCCCCGCCATAACCACTGCTTCCGCGGTCAAGAAACTCCACCTCTTCTCAACAAGCCACCGTCCCAAGTCTCTCTCCTTCACCAAAACCGCCATCCGCGCCGAGAAAACAGATTCCTCCTCTGGTGCCCCGGCCGCTGCTGTGAAAGAAGATGCTCCGGTTGGATTCACACCCCCGCAGCTAGATCCAAACACACCATCACCAATCTTCGCTGGAAGCACGGGAGGTCTCCTCCGGAAAGCACAAGTAGAAGAATTCTACGTCATCACATGGAACTCACCGAAAGAACAAATCTTTGAGATGCCGACAGGGGGAGCTGCGATCATGAGAGAAGGACCGAACCTGTTGAAACTAGCGAGGAAAGAACAGTGTCTGGCTTTAGGTACGAGGTTGAGGTCAAAGTACAAGATCAATTACCAGTTCTACAGAGTGTTCCCTAACGGAGAGGTTCAGTACCTTCACCCCAAAGATGGGGTATATCCAGAGAAAGCCAATCCAGGGAGAGAAGGTGTTGGACAAAACATGAGATCCATCGGTAAAAATGTTAGTCCCATTGAGGTAAAATTCACTGGGAAACAATCTTACGATTTGTAATATTTTTATTCCTATTGTACTACATATTGCTAGAACAAAAATATATATATATATATATATATATATATATATATATATATATGTGAAAAATCTTATGAATGTCGGGAACTTCCATTTATTTCCACCAAAAAGTACATTAATTTATTTTCTTTATCAAAGACATTTAATGTATGAATACACATAATGAAGTGTAGATACGATCCTATTGGAGACACATCAAATTAGTGTGCTTGCTAGAGCACCATGGATTTTTAAAAATGTTTGAGGAAGAAGAATGGTCGCCAAAATGTTTTTTAACACATAGTTTTCGCCCTTGTTAAGTTATGCTTGCAAATGTTAACTGTCGAAGTAGTTAATCAGAGAAACCGAAAACAAATGAGTGTTAAAAGAACTTCTATTTCTCATTGAAATTGTGGTTTCGTATGTACTAAGGGTAACTGGACCTTTATCTTGGTCTATATTCAACCTTAACCATGCACATAAGACATACCAATCGAGAATCGAAACACCGAATGATACCAAATCATGGTACGTGAAACTCTTTAGCTTTGATGGAAAAAAAAAGTCCATTAACTTGGGACGTCGACCATTAATTAATAGAGTATACAACTGGCCAACCATTTTGATAAATACCAATCGTAAAAATACACTTGCAACTAGGATTTTTACGATGGGTTAATATGAGAATTTCAATAAACATCATAATAACGAAGCCACTTGACATACAGAAATCATATCCCTCTTATTAGTTTCTAAAAAGCTTCATTAAGAGCACAAAAGGAATAGAAACATAGCTAGAAAGGCTGATTGAGCCTTGCACCCGCAGACATGGAATCTGCCACGCCACCAGGAGTTGTCTTCATCTCCGGACTGCTTCTAAGTTCAGCTCCAACCACCGCCTCCGCATCTTCGCTAGTCACCACCTTGTCTCCTCGAAGCTTCTCTGCAGCATCCTACACTCAGCCAAACAACAATCCAAATGCACCAATTTCAGCTTTTAGAATCTTCAACAATAAATAACCTCTCCCCTATACTTCACGTACGGTTTTACCAAAATAGGTTAAAAACTTCAAAAAAGTATTACTGTGAGAATATCTGCTATTGTCACTTTGCCTTCCTCGGATAGCGCCTGTTCGTTGGTAGCAGCAGCCGCCTGAGCCGCTGCGGCAAGACCACCTGGCCGAGTATCAGACTCACCTGTGGCTCTAGTTTCGGCCGCTTGTATCGCAGCTGCGTCTTTACGGTCGACAGGCTTATCTCCAAGCGACAAAGCCGTAGCCTCCAAAGCCTCCCCAATCGTAACCGTGTCTAGGGATCCCATCGTCGCAACCGTTGGATCGGATTGAGGGAAACCAACGCCTTGCTTTCTTACCACGTCATCACCGGAGACGCTGAAAACGTCGCGGTACTGATCATGTGGCAGTGTGTTTTCCTGATCTCTTGGCCTTTGATGCTGTGCCATTTTGCTTTTGTGTATTCGAGGGCTCCCTCTTTCGGATTTTTCTGTTTTGTTCTTATTTTAGAGCTTCTTTGGATTTTAGATCTTTGAAAAGTACTACAAAATCATATATATTTATTTAGTTAGATGTCTACTTGACACGTGGATGTGAACTTCACACTTGTCTTGCCGCATGTTGATGAGATGGATCGACCTTTTTAGGATTTTGGTGATATACAGTATATGTATTTGATTTCGTGATGTGTAATTGAATTAATTTATAGAACCTACAGTTCTCAACAAAGTACACGCCTTAATCTGTCAATTTTCTAAATCGCTTAATTATTTTATAGACACTATTCATTTGCTGCAGTAAAGAATTTCCCATTGTTTGGAAACTATACGCCTTTTAGAGATTTTAAAACTTGTAAGATTGAGCAAATAAATTCTACATAGACGGACGGAGGTATTAAAGACCTTTCACTTTGAAGAAAAGATAAATATCATTTTCGAAAGAGTAACGTAGACATCATAACGGTTACATTAATGAGATCAAGATACATCGAGAGAGTCAAAAAGACAGAAACATGAGCCAAAAAAAAGCAAATTTGGCAAAATGCAATCATTGTGTGGCTTTCTTATCATTTCTGGTTCTTTTTCTGAACTCTCTCTTCTCTTCAGAGTATTGCTTCTTCATCAAAAGGCTCGACATTGCTGCTCTCACAGCTTCTGCTGCAGCACTCATTACACTCTCTTCTATTGGAACTTTACCTTGCAATTGCTCCAACAGTTTGGTCCCTCCTGGAATATGCTCGTCTTCAAGGATTGAAGATGATTCAATGCACGAGATGACCCTAACCCTTGAAAATCCAGGATGGTTCGAACCAGGCAGGTTTGAGGCTCCTGATACCATCCATAGTAATCTTGTAGACGCACTTACAGAGATACTTGTTGGAATGAAACTTTCTCCAGGTATTTTAATCACCTAGGAGATAATTTACCCGGTTAACTCAATAATTTTGTTGATTTTACTGGACTTGCTGACAAGGGTCATACCTTTGTGATAGAGAGAGTATGTGCTGCCAAATCACAGCTTAACAAGAATATTCCTTGAAAGCTGCATTTTACATTAACAGAAACATTCAAACATCTGATTTTAAAGGAACGTATACAGGCTAAAAGATTGGACTTGCCTTTGAATTGCCACTGCTGCAAAAGCATAATTTGGGATAGTGCATATGTCGGTAACTGTGACTTGGGCCAGCGACTCACTTTCATTAGACTCTCCATGTCCTGCCTTCAATACGCACAGACAGAAATCATTTACTATGACAGTGACAGATATCAAGAATGTATATAATCAGATATATAAGAATAAATTAGCGAAAGAGGATAGAAACTTGTACCAGTATACTAACTTCACATGTGTCAAGGAGAGACCCAGATTTAATATCCCACAATCTAACCTGAAATCAACAACATTAGCAAAGAATCAAGCATCGCACTGGTCATAAGAATTTGGAGGGGAGACTTTAAGATTACTTACAGTTGAATCTCCACTTCCAGACATGAGGTATCCCTGAGAAAGCTCTGGACTGCTGACAAATGCTGTGCACGTGATGAACCTTTCGAGGATTTACGACAATGTTAAAGTAGCAGTTCAGTAAATCTTGTTTACAATCTTTAGGTTGTAAATATTTAGGTTGCAAACAAGAATATGTGGGATGGGATAACATATTTGCTTTTAACTTTCACTTACTCTGTATGTCCAAGACAAAAACTCTGTATTTCATGTGCCCCTTCTAAAGGCTTCTTGGGGAAAACAGTCACCTGTGATGGCAACCATAATCAATATAAGACCAATTCGAGTAAGAAAGGCATGACATTGTGCATTAGTGCATTAAACTAGCTTACCCTTATCTTAAAGTCCCGGTCTGCACTAAGAATATATTGACCATTTGGGGAAAACTCCTACGAACAAGAACAGATCAAAATGAGTGACATCGTAAGTTAAACTTCAGATTTTTGCTAATACAACAAGAGCGAGACACCATAGAAGAAAGGTGTTTTGACAAAACTTTATCTTACCAGACTAGTAATAATACTACAGTAGTGGGAAAGCAGCTGGGCACCCTTCTTACTAGGTAAAACTTTACCCTCCATGATTCCATCCAGCTCGACCACCCATACAACACCAAACTTGTCCGCATAGCAAACATAAGAATCATCCCTACTTATAGCAACTGCACTGACTCTCTTCTCAGAACATCTGCCATTATTATGAGTAAATTCGATTATGCAACTTAAGCTACATAAAGTCGAGAAACCCAAGTGAAAGCTTGGAGCCTCTGTGTGGAATTGAAAATCCTTGAATTCTGATACTAAACAACGAGACGCGCAATTTATCACAGTCTTACAACTATCCTACAATACGTTGTAACTAACTTACATGGTGTTAAGGCAGTGCCAAGACTCGGCAGACCAAATCTTAACGAGCTTGTCGTCGCCTGCAGACACAAAAAGCTTTCCACTTGCACCATAACGAATAGCTCTAATAGAATCCTTACGGGAAGGCCCATCAGATTCATCCACCAAAGTAACAGGACAATTCTCTCTGTCGATAAAACATTAAAAGCAATCGGTTAAACTAAACACTCTTCCCAAGTCAAAACCCTACTACCGTTCCAAGACAAAACCTATCTATAGAGCCGTGAGAGGAGTAGAGAAACGTCTTTGAATTTCGAATTTGAAAAGAGCCAGTGAGAGCTTACAGAAGATCGAATACACGAAGATCTGACCCGACAGCGACAACAACAGATTTCTGAGATGGGTGAACGGAAATCAATGCAGGAGCAACTTCGAGCTTGTTTTGGATTTCTGCATCTTCGATGAGAGATTCTTCCATTGTTGTTACACTTACACTGTGTAGAAGAAAAGGTTGGAGTTTTAGGGTTTAAAGCAGTTCGTGAGAGAGAAGGCCGCCACAGTCAAAGCTCAAAAGTCAAAACCCAATCGATTTTTATCATATTTGGATTGTTTGGATGCTCGTCTAATTATTTTCTCGTTAGAGTTCAAAGGAATGTACTCGCTTCAGATGCGCGTAAGACTGATTTCAAACATTAGTGTTCTAAATGGGTCGGAAACATGAAAACCTTTACGGCCCACTGGACTATTTAAAGATTCAGGACCATAATGTTTGGGTCTTTTCTGAAATTTTGGGTTTTAAATGTTAAAAAATCAAGTTTTAGTTTTATGGTATTTTTAAAAATATATATATTTTAATAGTATTTTTAGAAAATAAACTTAATAATAATATTTTTAAAAATACTCATTTAGCAGTATTTTAGAGAGTTCTCGGTTATTTATTATTATCACCGTACGAATATATGACATGGTTAGTTATACGCTACAGTTTGATAATATCCTTTAGAATATTTCTTCACTAATTTTTCAGTTAAGCAAATTTTGGTTAAGTGTTTCTGCCCATAGTGACTAGGGTTTAGAGGGTTCTTCGCACCCGTCATCATCAATGGTTAAAGAGACCCATCGTCTATCTGTAACTAACAACTCGTCTCCTCCATAAAGCTTTCGTCTTTCTTTTCTAATCTCTCCCGTTAATGTACAATGCTCGCTGGTTCAGCTCACGCACCAACTGTTCGATGAAATGTCTGAATGAAACTAGGAGTCAGTTTTCATCAAATCCTCGTACCAGCCGAGAAACTTCAAACTTGGTGTTAAATATTTGACGAAGGGAAACAACATCTTTCAAATAGAAGAGATGTTTTCATGGAGGAAAACAAAGCTTCAGGCTGTTTCACTTCACCAGTCTCGTTTGACTTCTTTGTTTCGTGGAATGCTTCCACTCGACGCCATTGAAGTCACAGTTACTATATCTCAAGCTTCTTTACAACATGGTTTGGCGGGTAATACTCATCTGTATAAAGCGGGGAACCCCATTGTGCTATCTACACTTCGTTCTAGTACCACGTTCCATGTATGGTCAGTCCACAGAACAGAAGCATTTTCAACCATTTCTGGATCTATATTGCTTCAAGCCAGGGATCCTGCTAAACTCAATGAAGAAATTCAAATCGCAGTTGATGAACATAGATGTGATGAAGTTTGGAGATTGTTTGTAAAACACATGCAGATGGAAGGGTTTCCGCGAAAATCTGTTGTCAACAACGTTTTGGTTTGTTTTGCTGAGAGTCTTGATTCCAATTGGCTACAAAAGGGTTACAGTTTAGTGGAACAAGCCTATGAGGAGAGTAAACAGAATCTACTGGAGAAGGAACCTCTTGTATATCTCTCCTTGGCTCTCGCCAAGTCAGGCATGGCTGTTCCTGCATCAACGATCTTGAGGAAGCTGGTTGAGACAGAAGAGTATCCTCATGTGAGTTCTTGGTCTGCGGTATTAGCACATATGTCTCTTGAGGGTTCAGGAAGTTATCTTTCTGCGGAGTTGGTTCTTGAGATTGGTTACTTGTTTCAGAATAACAGAGTTGATCCACGAAAGAAGAGCAACGCATCTTTGCTTGCAATGAAACCTAATACCCAGGCATTGAACATTGCTTTGGCGGGTTGTTTGTTGTTTGGGACAACACGAAAAGCTGAACAGCTTCTTGATATGATACCAAAGATCGGTGTTAAAGCAGATGCAAACTTGTTAGTAATAATGGCTCATATATACGAAAGAAATGGGCGGCGAGAGGAACTGAGGAAGCTTCAAAGACATATAGATGAAGCTTGTAACTTAAATGATTCTCAGTTTTGGCAATTTTATAATTGTTTGCTTATGTGTCACCTGAAATTCGGGGATCTTCAATCTGCTTCGAAAATGGTTCTGGAAATGCTAAGAAGAGGAAAAGTAGCAAGGAACTCACTTGGAGCCGCCATTCTTGGATTTGATACTGCAGATGATGATAGATTGAATCTCAAAAAAGTTTCTGGAAAAGTATCAGAGGTTAAAGAACACGATGATCCTGACATTAAAGTGGGTTCTATTCACAGTATGATTCCCTATGATGAGTTCTCTAGAGACAGGAAGTTTTTGAAACTTGAAGCTGAGGCAAAGGATATTCTTGATGCATTGTTGGCTAAGTTGCATGTACAGGTCAAATTGATTACATCCAAACACGGTGTTCTGCAGCCGACGGAAGAGATTTATGTGAAATTAGCAAAGGCATTCCTGGAAAGTGGAAAGATGAAAGAGTTAGCAGAG